CACCTGCTCGTAGAGGCGGCCGCGCGCCACCCCGTCGACGGCAACAGGGACGGCAGCTACCTGACGATGCGGTCGCAGGGCGGCGCCGTCTTCTTCGTCATCAACATCGTCGGCAACTTTGGCACCGTCTTCCTCGACAACGGCTACTACAACAAGGCCATCGCCGCCCACCCCGTCCACGCCCTGCCGGGCTACATCATGGGCGGCCTGGCCTGGTTCGCCATCCCCTGGCTGACGGCCACCACCCTCGGCCTGTCTGCCCTGGCCCTCGAGTCCAACCCGCGCTTCCCGACCTTCCCCAACCGCATGACCGAGGCCGAGGTGTCCGCCGGCCTGGCGCTCCCCTACGCCGCCGTCGCGCTGCTGGGCAAGGGCGGCGCGGCCGCCACCCTCATCATGGTCTTCCTGGCCGTGACGTCGTCCTTCAACTCGGAGCTGGTTGCCACGTCGTCCATCTTTACCTACGACGTTTACCGGACCTACTTTCGCCCAGAGGCCAAGGGGAAACACCTCATCTACATGTCGCACGTGTGCATGGTCGTCTACGCCGCCGTCATCTGCTGCATCTCCATCGGCCTGTGGTACAATGGCATTTCCATGGGATACTTGTACCTGCTCATGGGCGTGCTCATCTCGGCCGCCGTCCTGCCCGCGACCCTGACGCTGCTGTGGAACGGGCAGAGCCGCTGGGCGGCGACGCTGTCCCCCATCCTGGGCACGGCGTGTGCCATTGTCGCCTGGTTGGTGACGGCCAAGAAGACGTGCGGCAGGCTCGACGTCGAGTGCACCGGCTCCAATGATCCCATGCTGGCCGGCAATGTCACTGCGTTGCTTTCGCCCGTCGTCTTCGTCCCCGTCTTGTGTCTGGCCTTTGGCCTGGACAAGTACGACTGGCAGTCCATGATGGATATCCGTCAGGCAGACGACCATGACGTGCTGGAGAGCTCGGGCTTGGATGCTGAGGCTCAGAGGGAGGCGGAGATGGCTTCGCAAGCAAACTTTGACAAGGAGCAGCGCAAGCTGGACCGGGCATTCAAAATTGCTTGCATCATTACCATTTCAATGTACGTCTTTCATGTCGAGCGAATCCTTTCCTTTCGGGGGAACACGTTGCTAACTTTTTTTTGTTCCTTCTCACAGGGCGCTTTCATTCCTGATCCTCTGGCCAATGCCCATGTACGGCACGGGATACATCTTCTCCAAGAAGTTCTTTACTGGCTGGGTGGTTGTGGGCATCATTTGGATCTTCTGCTCATTCATTGCCGTCGGGCTGTATCCCGCGTGGGAGAGTAGGGACACGCTCATCAAGGTGGTGAGGTTGATCGTCACGGGCAAAAGGCCACAGCCGGTTCTTGTGGCCGAGCAGGACGCATCTGCAGACTCAAGCGGGACTGCGACTCCCATCAAGTCTAGGTCCGTTTCGAAGGCTGGCTGAGGTGGATCGTTTTTGGTTTTGTGAAGCTATTTATACCATGGAGAGTTTGCGGATAACTATGATACCAATGATCAGCTCGGTTTGCATATATAAACTTCCAATTTGTCCCCGACTTCATCGCCTTGTGATACTGCGCCGTGGTTCCCAGAATTTCCCATGACCTAGTATCTCGTTGATTTTATCATCACCTCATTGTTCCCGAGTACATTGTTACCCCGAAGATGGCTCATTCCTCGTCAGACCTCTGGTGGAAACCACCGACGTCTTCGGCATCCATGGCGTTGTAGAGACGCTCTAAGAAATCCTGCGTGGTTATCAACGTGCTAAACCGCCAAGAAAAATTAGCCTCTGTCTGGAACATGGTGCACCTTGCTTGTAACGTGGCGATATATCGCGACCTACCTGATGAGGTTGGAAAGATCAGTGAGACATCCATGGATTGTAGTATGAAGGTTTTCGAGACGGTCAATGGACCTCCTCAAGACAGTGAGCTGCATCATAAGCATATCTAGCTCGTGTTCACGTATTTGCACCTCGATATCGCTGTTGTGACGAAAATATGTTGGTGAGAAGACTGCTTTTTTTTGTTTTGGGGGAACGGGGTGTTATTCGGCGTACTGGGCTGCAACAGGATCTTGATGCATTATTCTTGCCAAATGGAACCGAATCTAGGTTTTGTGTGTTGTACAGGCAGTGATGATTAATGAATATGGATGTGAAGCTGTCTGCGAGAACGGATGTGTGCACTTCGCAGTGGAAGGAAGAAGAAGCAAGGGGAATTTTCACATTTCAAGGCTCTTAATAATGAATGCTCGATGGCAATGATAGCTAAGGGTGGCCGAGTCTTTTTCTTTTTTTTTTTGCGTTTATGAAGCGATGTGAGCGGAATGTGAGTTGTGCCAATCTGCAATAGAACAAACGCGGTCTGGGACATTTTTAGGGTGCCATGACCAAGAGAAACTCTCCCATTATTCTCTAAGAGAACTTCCAAAGCTAGTACGCATTGGAAATACTTTGGTTAGCAAACAAGATGGACCACAACATCAGACAACCATTTCGCGAGTAGTCTCTTGTTGCGTAACTGCAATATATAAAAAGGGGATTTCGACAGACCAAGTTTCCTTTCTAGAAAGGCTTCCTGGGCGACCCGCATGCCAGAGGCAGAGAATGGCTGTGGGAATAGTTTTGCCTGGATATGGGGAACCCCGACTGTGACTAGCGGTATGCATACAGTCATGATGCTACCGAAGTTCCTGTGAAGTTGTTTGGTCCGACTCAGGGGTCCTCTAGGCACCACCCATGCGCTTCTGAGGTAAAAGCGGCGCCAGCTGAGAATCCTGCATGAGGAATAGAGTTCACGATATTGAAATCCGGATATTCTATTGCTCTGAAATAGTCTAGTTCTAGCTCCATGGTGATGGAAGTGAGATTAAATAAGGTAACTTTAAGTTTTGAAGGCTGGGAGTATCAATGGTCTCACCTGCTCGCCCAACTTCACACAGTCATTTCGGAAGCATGAGAAAAGGGTTTTGACATGTCCTCTGTGTTTTTCTGCTTGAGGAAGATCATTTTGAAATAGCCTTGGCCCAATTCGCGCCAATAAGTGATGCCACTACGGTAAACTCTACATCTCCCTCCTCGGCTCGCTGACCCGTTTTCGGCCGTCATACTGGTAACACGGGAGATTTGCCAGCGGATACATGTTGCAGAGCACTTCGTACCAGGTCTTCTTCGAAAGCTTCCCGTGATGGTTTGCTGCGATTGTCATTATCAGCGAGCGTGCTTATAAGGACGATACGGGTCGGGCACGCTACGCGTTCGCTTAGCGGGAGTGCTGTGCTCGACGAAATGAGTTCTGTGATGGTGGTTGCGGCTAAGGCGACGACACTCTGAGGGATCACCGTCTCGTGCGTTATTTGATTTGTTCTGTTGCGCTATCGTGTGCTGTCGATGGTATAACTTTACACGATCATGCGACAGGCTACGGCGGGCGATATACCAGGGAATCCTTCTAACATTTTGCAACATCACACCGTGAATTCCTTCAAGTTGAGCCGGCCTTCTGGGATTAGTCTCCAGTCATGGGTGGCAGTATCACGGCGCCTAGCTATCCAAGTCAGTGATTATGTTATGCATTATTGCCCGTCTCTCTCTCTAAGCGCTGGGCTGCCACTTATTGGTGTGACAAATGACTAGGGGAAGACGCCCGGGCAACGTTATGCTTCATGATCCACTCGTCCTCAGCCAGCTCCTTGGCCGAGGCGCGCCTCGCAGGTTCCCACTGCAGCATCTTCCGTATCATGGCGAGAAACTTCTCTCGGTTTTCTCCCTCCAGGCTCGTCTCTATCATCTCGATCGGCGTACTATTTGGACGTGTAGTCTCTGCACGACACTCGCCTGTGGGACGAGCGGTATCTGGTGTCAGCAGCAAGCCAGGGATATCCCACTGTCTACTGTTCGCTTACCTTGTACTGTAAAGAACTTGTGGCTTTATTTGCCTGCATCAAGGAGTGCTTTGGGAGGTGATTCGAGCAACGCAACTATCTCGGCGAGGTGTGCTCGGCTGCGGTATTTCTGATCCTGCGGATCGAGTCCAGTGAACAGGTGACCACCTTCGAACAAATCTCAGATCTAAAATGGCAGTCCAGACCTGGGTTTTCAAGTTCTGCACATGCGAACTTCCGTTTCAGATCCGTACCATACAAGCCGTATTCCAAATATCAATCTCATAGGACCACGGTGCTTCCAAAACAACCTCGGGTGCCTGTAGATATCGGGCTGTACATCCTCAAGACGTTCTACATCACCGCTAACTGCTGACCGAAGTCACAAAGAACCGGTGCACCCGGGTTCTTCGGCATCTGAAGCTCGCGTGACAGACAGATGGCCCTACCGTCCACGATTTTCCGCGGAGACGGGTCGGCCAGCTCTTGCTCCTCGAATGCGGTGAAGACCGAATCTCCCTCAATGCCAAACATGATATTATCGGCCTTGATGTCTATTCCATAAAAAATTCAGCACTCTTCCTCAAGGACGAATTATATGAACTGCGGCCAAGGCGGGTTATGCTCGGCCCATTTCCCCCAGCACGCACCTGTGTGTATTATTTGACATACTGTATGCAGAAAATCCAAAGCAAGAAAGACGCGACGGAGGACAAAGGCCAGTACTGGTGCCGGTAGCCTTTCCACCGGTTACGGCGCAAGAAAGCCAAAGTGCTTTCCCAGAGCGGTGGGTGCACCAAGCACCGGTGACTGCCGTCTGGTCCACGAACATCGAAAGAGTCCAGTAGCTCTCTAACGGCACCGCGGGCAGGATTCTTCGATGATGATGCAGAGATACGCTTGTATATCGCGAGTCAGCGATGCAACTGGTCACCCATGGACTGAGCATGTATGAAGAGCTTGAGCGCTACATGCCGACGTCCACTGATCTGTTAATTAGTAGGAGGCACAGGTCAAGCGAGTTGAGTAGGTGCGAGAGCATCTCACGGTAGGTCGCGCGCCAACCAGACGGTTGAGCTAGCTCCAAAGCCCAGCTTGCCAACAATCTGATAGCGATTTTTGAGCATCTCGCCGAAGCGAGCTGGATAGTAACGGGATGCGATGTAGTCGGCAAAGAGCTCTTCCTCGAGCTTCTCATGCAGTGGAATTGGCGTAAAGTTCAGGTTGGAGAAAGTAAGTGACTTCCAAGCCCGGCGAGGCCAAGGCAATCGCCGAGGGATTGATGCCATATGAAGCGATCATAAGGTAGGCTGTCGAGTGATTCACGCTGTTTGAATTGGAGGACGAAGCGGCACGTGCCCCTCATGCACAGTGCACATGCAAGCTCCAGGGTCGCGAGCAAGACCCCTGGCGCCGCCTAGGTCACAGGTGAGGTTCGCTGAGCGGCGGGTGGCTAGAGGCGGTCTGGGAGTGCAGAGCTTCGCGCTCCGCATTTATTGACCCTATGTCGGAGTGAGATGTCGAAAAGTTCCGGTTAATATCATTGCCTGACGCCAGTGAATAGAGCGATACAGTCAAAGGGCTTAATCGAGTCTGCAAGAAAGAAGAGGCTCCAGAATGTTTGTCACGCCAACATGTAACAAAATAAAACCATGCGGTGATGGTAATGATGGTAATATATCTCGTCTCATCATACACGCACTGCTATCCCTTTGAGTGTGCGCAGGTGCCATTTTGGTGACGACCAAGGATGTCAACCAATTAAAGATATGAGATTAAAAGATACTTAATTCACCTGAGAATTCATTTAATAAAGAAAGTACCTTAATAAAAGTTACAAGCATATAAGAGGCCACCCTATTACGAAAGATGACTCCGTACTTAGCAAGTATTAGAGAAAAGTGGAGTATATACATAACAGGCACCTGCGCACACTCAAAGGGATAGAAAAGGACGCACATACTCCGTACAGCTACTGTGATTCTTGTCGGCATTATCCTTAATGCCAAAAAAAAATCCCCTATCTTCAACAAAAATGAACGCGTGGCGAGGATTCAAGTAGGTCACCGACACACGTCGGAGTTGTACGAAATCTGCACCAACAAAAGGAAACAGCTTGCTCCCTACTGGAATCGAACCAGTGATCTTATCATTACTAGTGACACGCTTTACCACTGAGCCAAGGGAGCATTTGCCGTCGCTGGGGCTGTCGATATTATTGTAACTAATGAAGGTAGCGCTTAATGTGGATTAATCATGCCTTAGCTTCTTGAGCCAGCCCGTTTCTAACCCCTTTCAAGTCTTCAAGTTAGCATCGACGTTAGCAATGTATTGGGCAACCCCTTCTAAATTTTCAAATCCTAGTTGTCATCCGGCTTAGTATGGCACCAAGTGGTCACCCTCTTTAGCCTCAACTAGCGTGAAAGAGCATACCCGATCTAACATACCCAATACATTTTTCAGGGCTTCTAGCTCACTGTCCTTTCTTGAACTAGCTCCCTCGCTAAACAACATTTTTGCCATCTCTTTACTCTTTCACTCTAGTTCAACACTGCATGCTATGGCGCGGCGTCGCTATACACGTCTACTGCATCCATGTCCGCTCCTCGCTCAACTAGAAGCCTAGCCACGTTGCCATTTTACGTGATATAGATTGCCGGGAATCTCGAGCCATTAATTCTTGAAATCTATGATGTTTTCATGAAACCAAGTGGGGTGAAACTGATGCAATGACTTTGCGCCCTTTCACGCCACACTGCGGCCGACGAGACTGTAGATCTGAGGACACCCAGCCCGCCCGGTTCGGAAACTATCGCCCCTGAAAGGATCTACGCATGTCAAAATTGCATCAGATAATGGCATTGAGTTTATACTTGGCCCACAGCAAGCCAAAGCGTTCCAAACGCGGTTAGCAGAGCATTGCATGTGTGGGATGCAAAATGAAATGTCTTGCGCCTGGCCAAACTCTACGAACAAAAGCCTTTCAAGTTTTCGGAAAGTGCAACAATTTAGGGCACAATCGGTTGGAGAAATAGCTGGGCTCTTTTTCCGGCCGATGCTAAGCGAGGGTAAGCAAAGTCCGTACATTAATGTTTCTTGCCACTCGGCAAGAAACGGTAACAGGGCAACTACAAGTCCATGGTAGACGTACAGCTCTCAAATATAGCCATGCTCTCATTCAAGCCCAAGCTTCCTTGTCTTCTGTTATCCTATTATCTAGGCGTGTGAGCGTTCAAGAATCAGATCAGAAAGGGTACCTTTTCCTCTCCCGCTGGCAAGCATCATGCCTAGCTAGTAGTTACCGCATTAATCTGAGATAGTAAGACATCAAGTCTCGTCTTGTTATTCCCCGTCTGGGTCCTACGTTGCGTGATATTTCAAGTCGACTGCAATGTAGCTATTCAAGTGGGCGAAACAAAACACCTGGCGCAAGGGCATGGGTGTCATTTGTCGAATAGGTCTCATTATGGGTTGGCTCTGCCAGCTTTTTACACTTCCAAGTGCAAACAAGACCAGCCATGATAGTCGTCGTCCTCTCCCCTTCAAATATAGCCCACGTGCCGGGGGTACGGCCTGTCTGGCGCGCTGGTCAGGGGCGCATCATCCTTCTAGGCCTCCTAGTGCGAAAGTGCGAAGCGAGCTCGTGGTTACAGTGTGTCAACGGAAAAACCCTCCTATTGTGCGGTATCGCCGAATGAAGCCATCAAAAGCCTCGTAAAGGCTCACGCTACGGCCCTATTGAAGTCGGACCTTCAGGACATAAGGGGGTATAATTGCTGTTTAATTCGAGCGCGTTCTTTTTGTGATGTAGTGGAGATTCAACCTCGTCTGTCTCAGCTATTGGATGCCCGTGGTTAGACATGAAGCCTTGATATACGCCCGCTCGTACGGGCGAGAATTAGAGGCATCGGCTACCAATCGCCGACTCGGCTCTATGTCGCTGGTTTATGCCTCAACGCAGCTCGGCTAGTCCCTCCATGTTAATTATGGAACATCGTACGAGACAGCCAGTAGGTATATGTTAATTTCAATTTCTGCTTGTACTAAACCCTGCACCTGTACACACTTGATGGAACATTGTAGGGTTAGTATAGAATTTATTGGACTTGGCGTCAAGGGGTATGTACATTATTTGTTAATATATGATACATCACGCGGTAGTAGAAAGCCTTATCGTAAGAGAGAGTAATTAATGCCAAGGTGTCACACTTTAAAAAAAATATATATAGACTAGTAGACGTACAAGAGCTTACATCGTACACTACTTTATTTAATACACAAGAAAAGTATACCACACAAATATTTCTCACGCCTTGTATTTCTCCAAGACAAAATTCGAAATCATGCGCTTCATTACTGCTATGCTCGTTTCTGCTAATCTGGCCCTAAGCATGCAAGGCTTGAGCATTGAGAGCACATGCGAAGATCTGATTAAAGCGCGTCCGTTAAATGCCGATCTCGCTTCCACTATCAAATGGAAACTAGAGGTAAGCGCTATGAAAAAACGGCCTTATTAAAGCATGAATACTAATTCAAGTAATAAGGGCTGCCTGGTAGTAAGTATAAGTTCAAAAAATCCATGTATTCCCTCTGCTATATTGTCTAACGATTTTAAAGAATCAAGCTTGCATTTCTGCGCCCGCCGATTCTCAGCTCGCCAAGATTTGCAGCAGTCCTGTGAACATTCAAGAAAACAGGATTCAAAATGTAAAGCCTGTACCTCACAAAGTATGTGTATATCTGGGAAAGAAGTATGAAGCATAATACTAAACTAAAAATAGACTGACGACGCCGACGCTTTCTGGGGCCAATTTCAAAATCACAGAGTTGAGTTGCGGCCGTATAAAGGGGTTGTCCTTGAGAAATACAGCTGCTCTCTGCTTCAGGACTTTGTTTGCGGACTGGGATTTGACTGGGACTATTGTGAACTTATGCACGCGCAAAAAGCAGTGAGTTTAGATTACAGCGCTATTTTGCTACTAGTTATGGATTTACTCTAATATTTCATAGGGCTGCCGAAATGTAAGCAACTCCACTCAGCACTAATAGACAGGAAATTTACTAATATATATTAATATAGTTTAATCAGTATAATGGCTCCCCGGACCACTCTTCTACCTGTAAAGAAATTTCGGAGAAAAACTATGAGGTGAATAAATTATCCCTATCTGCATGGTTTCAATAATTTACTAATATTTAATAGAACACATTGGAACGTGAGCACTTTGTAATGCAATGTGTTGGAGCATCTGCACAACCTGTCGTCTCTTGGTCTTGATAGACTGGGTTGTGCGTGGAAGCTACTTGTAGATAGTGTGTGGCATATTTTGCCTACACAGCTATAACAGCTAGCTAGCTACTAGCCTACTACAGAGCTAGCTGCTACAGCGTAGCTGTAACAGCCCAACAAACAACGTGGCCTGTAAAGCTAGTCACATGGCGCGTCTCGTGTCACACAATTATATATCTAGCTTCTCACGGCCTTCCTAGAATAATAAAACCGCAACCTTAAGCATTGTGGCTGTTGTGTTTAACTTCTTTTTCAACAAAGTTGAAATCTCAATGTAGATTAACCGTTGCGATAAGGTGTTGATAGTAGAGTAATTAAAGAGACAGAAGAAGAGCTATAGTGGCCAGATAAGTGCGTGAAGTAACGGCGTCGACCTGTGAAATCTTTCTTCTTGCACGAGGCATAATTCTTGACTTTTATCTCTTGCAACTAGCTGGTAATTAGCTCGGAGCAACGACACCTTTATATTGGGGCTTGTACGCTAGTTCCACGTGACTGATCCTAAATATTTTCTCTTTAATCGCTATATAAACAAGGAATGGGTAAGTGATCACATGAGATAATAGCCTACTAGCTTCATTCAGGTATTGGGCTACACGACAAGTGGATCGTAGATAATGCGTATGAGTCGTATTAATGGAGGGACTTGGAAATTCTCTATAACCTGGAAAACAGTTACTTTAGTGGAGGGTCGATTGCCGCCCTGATGGATCAAGTGAACGGAACGGAGAAGGACGTCTTGTTGAAGAAGATGCAGGACACGAAGGACATATGGCGCGGCTTACATGAAGAGTGGTTTAATATAAAGCACCTGATGTCACACGGATTAGGTCAAGCAAGGATCAGAAGCCCTTTATTACACAGCAGGATCACGAGAACTATGGGGCGCGCTAGGCACGGGCCGTTCCTTTCATGTACAATTCAGACCCTGAATGTTTAGCCAGGTGTGACATAGCAAGGGGGGTTAAAGCCAATGAGATATCACTATTACAGAGAGCATGTGGGGGTTTAAAGTACCTGATAACGCGATAAAATCTCTTATTAATAAAGGTCACTCTTATAAGAGCTACTACTCCCCTGTCATTATAGTTAACAGCCACTGATATAAATAAAAAGAGCTCCTGTTAACAGAAAAGTCCCTGTAAATAACCCCCAGTAACTTCCTTGTCAGGTCACTCATGGCTAAACTTACAGGGGTTGGATTGTATATAAGATGGTCTCCCCTCGCCTCATGGCTTGAGGGAACCAAGGACCTTTTTGACATCCTACGAGATTATCATTGAATTTGAGCCCATTTGCTTCAAGCCCTCTATCGAGCCCTTGTCACACCTCAACCAGACCAACAAGACCATTCACAGCAGCTTGTGTGGCTCTAGGCCGACTCTGCTAGCTTAGAACCAAGCTACTCGCTATTCAGCTGGCAAAATTATAAAGTGAACAATCTAGTAACAGCTAGTGGTGTTGAGTCGATCTAGCCGTTACACGAATGCTACACGAGGGCCACGATCGAGACCTTGGGACCGAGGCTCACCGACTACTAGTATTAATAGAGCTCTTTCTTTATCTAGGCCGTGAAGAAAAGCAAGGACTTTATTACCAAAGGCTGTTACTAGATGAATTGAATCACGTCGTTCCAAGTCCTCTACTAAGCTCTTGTCACACTAGCTGCCGAATTATATCTATATTTAGAAACGAAGTGTTTGCGGCTGCTCGTTAAAAGGTCAATCAATGTTCTATTTAAACCAATCTTCGGAGTCTTTTTTTTCAACGGCGCAAATCACACCACAGTCGCGGGCAGCCTGCTTATCCGGACGCTTTTGTCACCCCAAAGTCGAGACTGCTATTTGTAATGTATATCCGTAAAGAGTGTATTAGGCGAGGCTCCTCTGACGGAATCTAGAATTCGGAATGCGTTTTAGCATCTTGAGCATCTTCCTGCTGCTAGGAAGATAGCAACTATAGCCTGACACCGAACCGCCCACCATTAACCTGCTATGCACTCACAAGACCGAAGAAACAGTATTGTCATAGCTATGGTATTTAGATGATATGTGCAAGCTCTATTATTTGCGCTTCCTTCCACGTTTATTTCGGTTCGGTTAAAGATGCAATGGTGCTTGTACAGGAACATATTTCATCTATGCTCCTGAAACCACTTCTTGGCATACAGTGTCGCTTCTGGCAACGACAAGGCGGCACAATCTGCCGCTCCAACAAAACCTCGCCGCACGTCACAATCTCGCTCAAAATCAGCACCCAACTCCTCAAAGTCGTCGCCGTTGATGACGGTGTCCTCGACAGTCAGCCACCGACGAGTGCCGTCCACGGTAACGGCAAACGAGTTTTCCATTTTGGGCGACGACACTCTCCCCTCGGCCAGGTGGAAGCAGGTACAGCGGTGATAGCCAACTCCGAGGAGCAAGACGCGGGCTGAGAGTCCTTCCATCCGTGCAAGAGGGCTTTGCTCGCCGAAGCAGCAGTCGAGCGCATGATTGGCCGTGACGGTCCCCGCGTGGAGCCCAATGGCGGCGAACGAAACCTGAGGGTGCGCGCTTCGCAAGGCGCTAGGCCAGGTCCGAACCGTTTCGGGGATGGTGCCGACGGCCAACGTCCGGGTTTTCTCCGGGTCGTAGGCGGGTATCGACGCCCGTAGGGCTGGCCACCACGCTTCGTCCACGTCCAGCGACACCGGTGGCACTTTCCATGTGGAGGGGTCAGAGTTTCCACATGAGAATGCGGGCACGACCAGAGTTCCCTCACGACCAAGAACTTGGAGCAATGCGCTGACAACCGTCTCGGCTCCTCCACTGACGAAGCCCATGCTTTTGAGTGACGAGTGTACTAGAAGAGTGTCACCCTTGTTTATGCCCAGGTTGCGCAGGTCGGCTACCAGGCTTTGCCGTGTGCAAAGCGGCCCTTGAGGACGTCTTGGAGGCGACCGAGGATGAAGTGGTAGCATTTTTTCCCCCGGCAGATCGCACTCATTTGCGTGGCCAGTAAGATGGGTTCAATGATTGCGGGACAAAGGGAGCGAACGACCTAGCCGAGCTTTTTGAATGATTGCGTTCCGTCTTTATACCGCGCATCACGTTCCTGGAATCTCGCGGCACGGCATACGGGTCTAATGCAAGCCCGTTGGTTGGCAAGGGGCTCGGCCCAATAACGACATCATAGTTCCGAACAATTTGCCAGACCTCGCCGTCGACAAGTGGGCGAAGCCGTCCCGCCACTGCAGACGAGACATGGAACGCCCTGTCCCGTCATTGGTGATGTTGTTGGTGGTGGGCTACTAAGAGAGGCCGGCACCGTGTAGTAAATCGTATAGTGAAGGGGCACCATCAATAGCAGCGTTAGAAAGCGTGAAGCGATTGATGGGCAAGTGTTTGCGAAGCCAGGCGGTGACATTGACTCTGAGCCTCACCGTGCTGTGTATTCCGGGTAGACGGTGCTTTTTATTGCAGCTTGAAGAGGCTGTGTAGTAATAGCCAAACAATTACTCTAGAAGAAATACTCGTACAGAGACGGCAGAAGATGGCGGCTATGAGGCGGTGGTAAAGCTACTTCTCGAGAAGGTTGCCCTCGTAGGGGGTCCCGTCATGATCCCCACAATCCTTTTCCAGCAAGCCGCACATCGAGGCCGGTGATCACGGCACTGCTTGAGAATCATGTCGATCTTGGAAACATGGCAAGTCTCTTTCTGTCAGAGCCCGAAATGGCACACTTGTAAGCTGGATATCGGGGCTATACAGCCAAGGGCCGCTATTGCTGGATCTGCTTGCCCCATGGCTCAATGGCCAAAAGAAATTAACCAGCCACCAGTAAGCGGCTCAAGGGTTGCTACGGAGTACGGAGTAGAGGCAACTCATATGTCGGTTGTGGACTGTTTAGGAAATTAGAGGGGGTGGAATCTACACAAGGAGCCGACAATGAGCGGCCAAACACATTCGAGAGCTGTGGAGCCAAAGGTCACGATGGCTGCTAGCGAGGGCTATGCTATAGCCATAATAGTCCTTCTACTTGGCGTTGGGAAGCAGTAGCTGTATGGTAGGTTTTTAGTCCAATTGGGCAACTAGCTAGCTAGTAGCCTAGTACTGGTTTTTCCCTACTAGTGATTTCGTAGCAGAGGTTCGAGTTATATAGGCCTATTAGGGTATATTGATAAATATACATGATAGGATAACGCATATTGAATTACATCACGTATGTATCTTGGGCCTGGTTTAAGGGACGGGTAGTTCCCAAAAGACACTACTTGCCCTGGCGACCTAATCTCGTGAGTTTTTTTGTTGTGCGAGGCACCGACACGGCTGATTTTCTCCGTATGACTCGACGAGGTATACTATTCCAGGGGCAAACCTGGAAGCTGCGGCCCAACGCTCCAACCGGCTTGCATTTGTTTCCATCAAATGACGCTAAACACAGGACAAGACTCGCCTTCACTAATAAAGTTGATTTACACACGTCAGACTGGTCCGGCGCCGAAGCTCCGTGCCCAGCAGAGCCGGGTCGACGGCCTCGGGCGTAGCCCCTGCACCATGGGGCACTGGGTTTGCCAGGGATTGAACAACGGGAAATTGATTTTCAGCCAAGTAATGGCATCTAGCTGGCTTCCTACAGTTGCTGCGTTGAGTCTAAGCATGGCCCTAAGCACATGTCTCTCCCTTGGAGAGTTTGGTTTCACAGTCCTTGAGCGCAGTCAGATTCCCCAGAGCCAGTTGACATTTTGCATCCTTCTGGCACGTCTCTGCGCGGTCTGTGCACTCCGTCATGTGATATCCTTCGGCCGCGCAGAGTTGGTTTCTGTCGATACATTGAAAGAATTGCTGCATCGTCGCGGTGGCCGGCACTTGGCCGGTGCAGCGACGAAACGCAAGTTCGCAGTCCTTCTTGCTTTCGTTGTTGTTGCAGTAGTCTTTGATCTGTTCGTACTCGGACTTGGGCGGCTGGGCGGCCTGTTCGTCGGCCTTGTTCTCCGTCTGAGAACCAGGCTTGGGACAGGCAGATGGCGCCGCGAGGGCGGATCCGGCCAAGATTGCGACGGTGAAGAATGCGGCTTTCATAATGACTGCTTGAAATCGACGGAATGCGACCGAGTCTGTACAAAAGAGGAGTTTCTTCGTAGTGATGGTACTTGATAGTAATAGCAAGCTAAGTGCCCCAAATCGAGTGATGCTGGTAGCTAGCAGGTTGGGGACATTTTATAGTCAAGTCGCCTATGTCTTTTTTCCCCCTTTTCCCTTTCCTTGGTACCGCGTTGGCCGCGCATGCAGTCATGTCTTTTGTCCGCGTCACAGAGGAGCTTCGAGTCGTGTTCTTATTAATACCTTATGCGCTTTAATTAATGCTTGATGCGCATTATCAATGCATTGTCCACGTCTTGTGTGGCATAGTAACTTATATTGGGGGCAAAAAATACCGTGGCGTGACCACGTCTATTTTTTGTAGTGTGATTTCGTATGATTTCTTTGGTACCGATCCACTACTAAAAATGATTAGATTCGACTTTTAGCACAAATGTGAATTCGCATGAAATTATATATAGGTTTAATATATATGCATGACAGAGCAATTTATTACGTCACGTACAGACCGGGTAGTTGGGTCCAAATTGTGGTCATCGTATTACGCGTAGAATTCGTTAGAGTACTAAGCAAGATGTCGTTACTAGAAGATGTATTATATGAAGTGAGCTTCCTCCTTTCTACAGTCAGAGTTGACCTTTTAGGGTTGCTTTATCAAATGGTAATTTGTCTTGACCAATTTGTAGCCCAACCAAGAATTTGTTCCATAGCTAGCGGAAGTTAAATTCAATGTGGTAACAGAGTAATAGTTGTAAAGGCGCCCTGCCCAGCTGAAGTGCCACGATTCAGCAGCTATGGATCGCATTGGAAAGTGGCATTAGTCCTTGACTGAAGCTATCTATCGAGGGATTCGAGGCCTCTTTTATAGTTGACGATGACCCCGAATAGCCCGGTTTTTCACAGACCTCTTGAAACAGCCTGTGTAGCAGCTAGTGTTTTAATTGCTATACTATATTCTGCAGTTCCTTTTATGTAGGTGCTGTATACATGGCGACTTTTACTACACAATCCGCATGATTCGTAATTCTATGCCATTTAGAATAAAAAGAAAAAAGAAAAAAGGTCCTCCGAGAGAGGTAGATCAGCCCATTTTCTCCACTTTCCTCTTGTCTCGCTTTGGTCAAGGGAGTTGGAAATGCGCGGACGCTCCAAAGTAATTAATTAACTTGTGACATGAAATTGCCAAGGGTTCCTTGTGTGCTACCAGCATGTAAACTCAACATTTCCTTTTGGACGGCCATGCTCTGCCGGGCCCAAGCCCTGGGTAATTGGAGTTGCCCCGTATCGAGTCATGCCTCGATCAAGATGTCCTGTGACAAGGCCTCGGTGAGGGCTTGGAGCAATAGCTCGATTCAGCTTTCGTAACAGTCTTTGCTACCAGAGATCGTTGGTTTTCCCAAGGCCTCGAGGGAGCCGAGGTCTCTATAAATACAACAAGTCAGTGAGTGTTATGCCCCAAGTCCCATGATGATAGCCCTCGTGTACTAGTGTGACACGAGCAGTCATTTCGCAAGGCCAGCACATGCAAGGGGGCGAATACAGAAATAGAGGTTACGCTGCCAGATGCGTGGGCTGTGGTTTTCCGTTCAACTACCAGCTTACTTCCATGCCAGTGATAGAAATCACGGATAATGTCCGCGAGAAGACAGCGCCAGCATACAAAAAAATCGGCACGCTCTGTACAGCTACTCGTCCGGCTCCCAGGCCAATTCCCTCGTCTCGCTCTCAGCCACTTTCTTGTCTGCAAAAGCCTCCATAGCCGCCCTGGTCTGCTCATCAAGCAGCTCCAGTATCTTCATCCAAGCATCTCCAGGGCCGAAACTGCCATCATATCCGAAAAACCGCGGGTCCAATTTCTTCCAATATACACCGTCAAACGCGAAGTTCCTTCGAGCCGCGTAGACTGTCCAAAAGTCACCGCTAGCCCAGCTCTCGCGCATCTTGCCAGAAAGCCGCTGCTCGTCTTGCAGCTGTCCAGAGGCAATAGAGGCATCTTCACAGTCCATCACGGCTTTCAAAAAGGTAGTGAGACGACGCTCATACTGCTCTGCCCAGTCCTCTAAGCCCTTGACCCAGTATTCTGGCTGTTCTATAAGCAGCCACCAAGGAGGAGCAAAGGTAAATTCTCTGGGCGCCGCGTACGAAAACTCCCAGTCTATGACCGCAACAATTTGCAAGTTCGCGTCAAGCAGTATATTAGACGGGCGAAGGTCGTCGCACCAGAACTTGAAGGGCCCTTTGTCATACCGGTCATCAGACACAAGCTTCTTCTCACCAGCGAGCTTCTGGAAGAGCTGTCTCGCTGTATATTTACGCTGGCAGTCGGCCCTGGACTCGATTGCATCGTTCCGTTGGTGGGTTAAGTGATCAACATGTAGCCTTGCGAGGGCTTGAAAGTAGTCTGACGAGGTCTTGAATGTAGACGTGGGTAGTTTCGCTCGCGGGAAAGTTCCTGTCCTGACCAACTCATTCATAGGCATTGATAGTGGGCGCCGTGTCACTTGACCATTCATCCGTCTCTTCTAAAGCCCCTATTAAAGGAAGCTCCAACTTGGACAGCTGAAGGAGGACATTTGCAACCTGGCGATACAGCATTTCGAGCTTTGCTTCGTCGATATTGGGGTCTACAACTGGTGGTATATCAGAAGTTAATCCCGGTGTGTTGAGTGCCGCAGTCATATTCATGGCGTGGTGGATATAGTGACTAGTCCACGATTATAAAGGCCCTATGCCAAGGGGACTTTCTTCTCTTGTGCCCCAGTGGAGGATAAAGGGGACCGGAATAGCGGTGTGGTCCTGGATGTACCTCATCTTGGCGACTTCGTTTTGGATTTTCTCTTCGGGAAACATTGTCCTACCCGCCTTGGCGAAGCGTATCACGGCCGAGCCGCCATCTCAGTACTTTAAGCGAAACAGGGCGTTGAATCCGCCCGCTGCTAGAGGGCCAATTTCCTCGGGGACGCCCTGGCGGTGCTTCGCGACGAAGTTTCCAATAGCCAGCAGGGTCGAATTCGTCAAGAGACTCTCGCGCCACTCTCTCTCGGTACGGTCGCTTTCTTCCCAGGCGACGTCGTCGCCTTGCATCCACATGGTGCTATGAGGTGGATAGGGGACCAAGTGACTCCTCTCCTCCCATGCTGTTTCTGCGGGTTACACGCGCGTCGCATACCCTTGCCAAAGCCAACTGGGCAAGCTAAGCGCCGCTGCCGCCTGGGTTGGTTGGTCGCAAGTCAACCTGCGCACTGTGGTAAACCAACCAACGTCACTGGCCAGGGTCTCATCGTGGGCGGAATTTGCACAATGTTATTCATTTCAATTCATGTACTTGGCTGTGTATCTCGCTTCAGTACAGCAATAACCTGGGGATCATGGCGAGTGATGATCTAGCGCCGCTTTGTAGCACAGCTATAACATTCCCCACGGAAACACAAGTCAAAACTATTCCACCAGGTCGCTCACGTCATCACTTGGTTCCTTGTACGATCCTCCCTCGGGTCGAGCTCCTCGTGTAGTTTCTTTGATGATGTTGGACTTGTCAATGCCATCAACCATGTCTTCCTCTGCCAAATGTTAGCTAATTTTGGCAACATCTTGGGTGATAGTAATTGGATCAACATACGCAGTTCCGGGTTGTTGTGAACTGTCTCATCTATGTCCTCTTCGGGGACATCCGACGGAAGGGGCTTGACATCCTTGACGTTGGAGCTGACGGGCTCGTCGTTGAGAAATTTGGCATCGTCTGCGTTGGGGGCCATACTGAAATGAATAGGCACGATAATATTTGACTAAGTAATCAGTGTGATATTTTGTTATCAACTTGATTCGTGCAACCGCTACTAAAGTCGTTGAACATCCACACACTGCTGGATTTTGAGAAGCTTATATATACTTTCTACAATTGACGTGAGCCATGGCACCGCTGCGAATCGGTCGCAAATCAATCCGGTCTATCAGCCAATACCGATCAAAGGAGTCGATCGCGATCAGACTCTATGATGATCTACATCACCCCAGGGAAACAGATCGATCGACATCCAACCTTCCAGCTTTGGACTTGCGCAAGGCGCCAGCTTTTACGCCGTTAAGTGAGGACTTATGATTAGTTATTGAATCTATATGCTTTTCTTCGGCCCGTTCATCATTCACTTTTCACCGGTTGACTGGGTGCATGTCTTGACGGTGGATCATATCGAGCTAGCGATAAAGCTTAGTACGTAGATCGGCCTGGAAGTGGTGACGAATTGAAAACGGGGCGGCGATCGAGACGTTTTACTGGGCGGTTTCCATAGAGTACTAGTGCGAGTACAAGTTGCCTTTTCCCAACTGAGGGTACCGTTGACATGTATTCAACCTCTGACGCACTGCACAAACACGGCTGTGACGCTTACAGGTATTGTCATCGACTGGGTTTCCCCACAAGTATCTACTCACCCTCAAGGGTATTAGCTAAGAATAGGGCAATATAGCTTATTAGATGAGTATTAGATACTTCTTCATACACTGTTTCAGGGCATAGATGTACTTGTAGCATTTCTCTACTTATAATGCACTATAATAGCTTCAGTATGCTTTAGGCAATCCGTTTTAGTGTAACTAGTAGACCAACAGACGGCAGCAGCCAAGGCTCCCATTCAGCTCTGGTTGAGGGCACTCTTGCATACCTGTCTGTGTATTCTCGCGGAATGAGTTCCCAGCCCATGAACAAGCCGGGCGTCACAAGGGTAGCCATTGACGTACATGTAGTCAGGTAATCAGGCCTAGTCTCAACAGACCGGGACAATACGTTTAGTAGGCGGGCGAGTGCGGTACTTGGTTCTGTGTCACAGTCTGTCATCAAAACGATTCCGGAAACCTCAGCCACCCTGAGTGCCGAAGTGTGACGGGGGCTCAGTGATGGCTTGGAGCAATAACTCGACTCATCTAATGACAGTCTCTGGTTTCAAAGGTCCTTGGTTTTCCTCAAGGCCGAGGGACCAAGGTCTCTATAAATACAAGAGGTCGGTGAGGGTCTTCTCTCCTAGGTCCCGTGATCATAGCCCTCATGTAGCCGTGTCCAACGGTGCTACCCCTGCCGTAGATCCAACACAGAGTGACATCTAGAGCCGCTTGTCCTATCCTCGGGCCAAGTGAAGAAGACATGGGCTCAGAACGGCCTCGGCAACGAGGGCTGGCATGAATCATCACAGAGCATATTATTCATCAACAGTCCTATACAGGCGTCTGCGCGCGGCAACGGGAAATTCCCGCCGCTCTAGTCATGTCGACTGACTCGGCCAGCTCGCCTAACGAGCCAAGACTCTGAACACGAGGTCCACGTTGACCAGCTCCCGTGTTCGGTTCCACAGAAACTTGTCGCAGTCCAGCCACTATACCCGGCACGAACATCAACAGATGAGCCCCTGCGCAGCAGACCATCAAAGTAGCAGGTTCTTACGCCGCCGAGCCTGACTCAAGCAAGCTAACCAGTTCCTGGGTGAATATTGAGGCTATACTCCGGCTCCACTACCGACGAATTTGGGGGTTGGCACCGGGTAATATGTGGCATATAAATTATGAACCAGGTCCACATGGGTTAATTCAATTAATCCACGCGAGGAGTGTGGATCGAACTCGTGAGACCACCCCGGCCAAGCATGAACATTGAAGACTGTATAGATTTGGAGCATCGTGTGAAACGACATGGGCAGGCTACAAGATGCTAATTAGAAGTATATAAAAGACACAATACCAGTTCGACTCGTAGAGAAATAGACGCAGACGCCAAGTATCATTGCTCACCACTCATTCTATAAATTGTCGTCTTTCCATCACAACCAGTCTATATTGACTTGATTTTCACGCTCTTGTAAATCAGCAAGCCCCATCCACAGATTCATCATTCGTTTTGTAAATACAATGCGCCACTCGTACGCCTCTGCCCTACTTCTCGCGGGCCAGTCTCTCGCGGCGCCCGTAGACAGCGTCAACGAGGCTCCCGCAGGCCAGAACACGCCAGCCGGCGTCCTACAGCTGCCTCTGGTCCCCGTTACCCCTGATCCGCAAGACGCCAGCCTGTCAAAGCGCCAGGCCCAGGGAGACTTGAATATGTACCGCTTTCTCGGCCTCCGGCCGGTAGTAGGCTTCGGCATGCCCCTTGAGATTGGCACGCCGGCGCAGACCGTCATTGTGGAACCAGACACCGGGTCCGACTTATTCTGGGTGCCCCAGGTGCGCGCCGGCAAGGTCAGGGAGGAGCCTGCTTCGGTCTACTTCGACAAGTACCGCAGCACCAGCAGACGCGAGCTCAATAAGCAAAACCTCTCGCGATACGGCGGGAATGAAATTATCGTCTGGAACATGAGTGCGGACGTGGTATCCATGAGAGGTACGTTGTTCCGTACATTCAGTCCCGGAGCTCCTCCGGAAAAGAAGGGCACAGAACCTAACACCTCGGTACAGGCCAGTCGCTGGGCGAAATGCAGTTTGGGGTCGCCAACCTGCAAGGACCTACTAAAATAGGACGCGTCGTCGGCATCCTCGGACTGAGAGAGCCCATTCCCAAGAACCCGTACGCCAGCGAGTTTATCCTGAAGAAGATGCTAGATAGCAAGGTGATTTCCGATGCTGCCTTTAGCATGAGTGTGGATGAGAACGGCAAGGGAGCTATTACCTTTGGCGGCTACGATACCAAAAAGTTCGCCGGCCCGCTTGAGAAGTTCCCGTTTGCTTCTCAGACATCAAATAAGTAAGTGATGACAAGGAGAAGTCTAGAAACTCTTCAAGACTCTGTCTCGGGGAGACGGGCCGGGAGACTAACCCTTCGTACGTTCGCAGCTACGTCGTCAACATGAAGTCAATCTCGGTGTCTGACAGCACCCATGCCAGCCATGTCATTCCGGACCAAGGCCTGACCATAGGACTCGACACGGGGTCCCCGGCCATCGCGATGAAGAAGGCCATCTATGACGAGGTTGGGAGGGCATTGGGAGCCACAATTCCAGAGGGCAGCTCCGTGCCGGTAATTAACTGCACCTTGATGCAGGACGCCCGCATCACGCTGGCCATGAACGACAAGGTGTCCATCAGCATCCCAGTCAAGGACTTTGAGATGGACGTTCCGAAGCTCAAGACGGGAGGCAACTGCCCGGTGGCGATCATTTCGAGAGACTTACCTGCTGGTAAGGCAAGCCACGAAGAACCTTACTTGTACCTGGACTAATGTTGCGATTTTTTCAAGATATTTGGATTGGCGGTCATTTCCTGCGCAGGGCCTATGTCGTCTATGACTCGGCTCGTAAGAACATCCACGTGGCTCGGGTTGGGAACTGCGGCTCCAACGTGGTGGCCATCAACGGCGGCGTTCCCAGCGGGCTTGTCGGCGAGTGCGCCGAACAGCCGCTCGGCCCGATTCGCGCTCCGGAGGCGCCTG